TTTTTTTTTTTTTTTTTTGAGACAGTCTCACTATGTCACCCACAGTAGAGTATCCTGGCATCAAAGCGATTCTCTTGTCTCAGCCTCCCAAGAAAAAAAAATTTTTTTTAAAACAAAGGAATTGGAGATCAAGGCAGGGGGATTGCCTAAGGTTAGGAGTTTAAGACCAGAAAAAGCAAGAGCAAGATCCTGTCTCTACCAAAAATAGAAAAATTAGCTGGGCACAGCAGTGTGCACTTGTAGTCCCAGCAACTTGGGAGGCTGAGGCAGAACTGCTTGAGCCCAGGAATCTGAAGTTGCAGTGAGATATGATGATGCCACTGCACTGTATCCTGGGTGGCAACACAGGGAGATGCTATCTCAAAAAAAAAAAAAAAGAGAGAGAGAGAGAGAAGGAATGTCATCCTTGTAACTCAATCTCAGAGAGTTCCTACATAAATTATTCTTGGCATCTTCCCTAAAGGGCAAGTTGCTTAAATTTTGTAAAATGTGGCCTTTTACCTATCACCTTTAACCTAAATGACTACTATGCATTCAAATTCCAAGTGATCAAATAGGATTAGGGCAAAAAAAGCAGAAAGCTTAACACTCACAGAAAAGTCCTCTTCAACGTTTTTCTTTCTAGGAGGGGCTCTCACTCCAACACAACATACATATTAATTAGAGAAGCAAGAGAGAAAAGCTAAAGGTGTATCTTAACCTTCTAGGCCTGTGAATAGTTTCAGCAAATTATCTGAGTAAAATCCAAGAAATTGGGGGGTAAACACAAAAAGGGTGATAGTCTGAATAAGTCAAAATGCTAACCACAGACAGATACTACTTAATAACTGAAAGAACTCATATTGCTTGTTATCTTTTATCAGTGGTTCCCCATAGTTGTAACCCACTGACACATTTTAACTGGTTACAAAGTGTGACTGTATTTTAAATACTGAAGTTTGTGAAGAATTTAATTTGAAAAAGGAGAAAGTTACCTTAAGGAGATAGGTAAGAAAGGGATGGAGTTACAGTTAGCTCATCTGGAACTCTGCATAACCTGCCCTGTGTCTTACCTATGTCAAAGCTGCTAGGAATGAGTGTTGCCAATCATGGAGAGTCATTTGTGGGTCTACTGTGTACCCAGGATGTAGTGGAAAAACCACTGGCCTTAAGACTTCTACTATAATATTAGAGAAACTAATTACTAAAACAGAAGAGTCTTGGGAAGGAATGCTTACCAAGCAAGTCTGCAAGTTCAAAGTCACTAGTTCAGGACAGTGTGCACCTATATACTTGAGAGCTTCATCTTCTAGCTGTAAAGAATAAGAGAAAAAGTGACTGTTACAAATCTTTCTTAAAGGAGAAAGATTTAAGAATATACACATTCCCTTGAACACTGTGGATCCCCCTAATATATATAATGACTAAGGCTTTGTAAATTAAGGGATGTTTGTGTGAATAAAGTTATTTGATGGGGTTAAAAGAAAAAGAATATATACATTCATTAATGCATTCTAAATATATCCAACAAGTAACAAAGGGACAATTAACCACACACAATGAACTATGACCACGTAACAGTGTAATTCATGTTATTAGCATGGTTACAGTATTTCAAAAATCAGTTCTGACCACATTCAAATTCATATTATCATCAGATCAAGGAAAATATGACATAAACATTGCCTAGTTTTTATGGTTTTAGTTCTTATAAATATACCACACAGTATTTTGCTGTGGGACTACGAAGCTAAAATAATTTTCACACTTTTTTTTTTTTTTTTTTTGGAGACAGAGACTCAAGCTGTTGCCCTGGATAGAATGCCATGGCATCACAGCTCACAGCAACCTCCAATTCCTGGGCTCAAGCGAGTCTCTTGCCTCAGCTTCCCAAGTAGCTAGGACCACAGGCACCCGCCATAATGCCTGGTTATTTTTTGGTTGTAGTTGTCATTGTTGTTTGGCAGGCCCGGGCTGGATTCGAACTCACCAGCTCTGGTGTATGTGGCTGGTGCCTTAGCCACTTGAGCTACAGACACCAAGCTAATTTTCACACTTCTATTGCCATGGTTACAGTGCTGAGAGCAGATGATAAGTAACTGATGATACTGATGCATTCCAATCAATATTTTAAAATCTCATAAATAACCAGGAGCTCAATCTGTTGTTTTAAGGCAGTACATATATCCTAAGCTCTGTTTCAAATAAAGGAACCCCTCCCATCATGGTAAAAGAATGAGGGCATTTTTAATGGAATCTATATTACGTTTTTAGTGACCATTAATAAAATAAGGTCAAGCCTGGCCCTACTTTGTCAGTTACATTTAAATTAACCTTTGCTCATTTCTTTCCAGGTACTATCTAGTCAATTCCTGTTTTCACTGTAAAACACTGATAGTGCTCAATCTTCTCTTCTTTCACTCCCTGCTCTCTCTTTCTCATCTCTTCCCCCGACTCTCTTAACTTTCTCTAATATAAAATAAACTTATTCTTTTATATTCTAAAAAAACCCCAGGGACAGTACAGTTTTAGTGACAAAATATGGTGGATTTAAAATGTGACTGGTAGGAAATAACTATCAACACTATAAAATGAAGGTTGCTACATACTTGGCACATTTAAGAAAAACTCCTGGTAGAATACAAGTGCAAATTGCCAGGAATGCCTTCTTTGCCTATCCATTTCAAAGTAACAGCACTAACAACATGACAAGTTTGCTTCTCAGTAAAAAATTAACTGCACACAATTCTTTTGCCGATGGTGTCCCCACCCCCCAAAATTTATTGTTGGCCAGATGTTAATTCTTCTCATTCTTTTATTCTAAGGAAAACACTTTTAATTTTTAGTAAGCATGTATCTTTTTTCTTTTTATTGAGACAGATTCACTTTGTTGCCCTTGGTAGAGTGCCATGGTGTCACAGCTCACAACAACCTCCAACTGTTGGGCTTAGGTGATTCTCTTGCCTCAACCTCCTGAGTAGCTGGGACTACAGGTGCCTGCCACAACACCTGGCTATTTTTGTTGTTGTTGTTGCAGTTTGGCTGGGGCTGGGTTTGGACCCGCCACCCTCAGTATATGGAGCCTGTGCCCTACCCACTGAGCCATAGGCACCACCCCCAGCATGTATCTTTGGTCAGTAATAAACATAACTAATATTCCCCTCAAGACAAATATCTTAAGGCTGCCTATAAAGAGTTCATGGTTCCTCAGAATTTCAGAAGCACTACATGGAGTATTACCTGAGTGCAGCCTTTTAAGAATAAGGCCTTGAGACCCCCACATCCCTTCACTAGGGCTTGAATGCCATCCTTGGTTACTTGGTCACACCAGGAAATGTTCAACTGCTCCAACAGTGGACATCCCTCACTTAGGATAAAACAAAATGAGACAAATATATCACTGAATCCAATTCCAAAGGCACCAAAGTCTCGTTTTATTGCTATTTAATAAAGGAATGGATACAGTCTCTTTCTTTCCCATAAGAACATACATATTAACTTAATATATATTTAGAATACAGGCACTCCAAAGCACATATACACACATCAATGTCTGTGATGTTCATGTGGGACTATACCATTAACAAGGTCATCTCAAATCTAGCTTACTCAACAAATTAACGAGCACAAAGCACAATACTGTCTTTCAGATATATGGAGATTTACACTTTTCAGAGTACTATATTTTTATAAACTTTTTCTACTTATTACATATTTCAGAGGTCTCTGGACAGGACATAGAAATTAAGTGACTTGTTCAAGTGTAGAGAATAAAAAATGGATTTCAGATTCAAACCCAGATTCTCTATCATGTAGTGTTGTTACAGTTTGAGTATCCCTTATCTGAAATGCTTGGGACCAGAAGTGTTTTAGATATGATATTTTGGAATACTTGTATTATACCTATACAGGTGAGCGTCACAAATCTGCCCCAATTAGCAATTCCTTTGAGCATCATACTGGTGTTCAAAAAGTTTGGGATTCTGGAGTAATTCAGATTTTCAGATTAGAGACATTCAGTCTGTAGGATCAAAGTGATAACAAGACTTTTAAACTTTTAAGACTTTACAAAGCTCTGTGTATTTCCTCATCTGAAACATGTGTAGCATACTGCTTCTGTAAGCTGAATTTATGAAATCTTGTGTTCAATCACTGCCTTCAAAATACTAGCTTTATCTTTGATCCCTTCTGTTCTTATCATTTTAGTTTCACATTTGGACTATGGAAAAACCCCAAGCTTTCTACAATATTCTTTTTTATGTTTTAATTAATTAATTAATTTTTTTTTTTTGGAGACAGAGCCTCAAGCTATCCCCCTGGGTAGAGTGCCCATGACATCACAGCTCACAGCAACCTCCAACTCCTGGGCTCAAGCGAGTCTACTGCCTCAGCCTCCCAAGTAGCTGGGACCACAGGTGCCTGCCACAACACCCAGCCATTTTTTGGTTGTAGCTGTCATTGTTGTTTTGGTGGGCCTGGGCTGGATTCAAACCAGCCACCTTAGGTGTATGTGGCTGGCGCCTTAGCCACTTGAGCCACAGGCGCCAAGCCTACAATATTCTTAGAAACCACCAACTAAATTGTTTTTAACATTTGTACCTGCAGAAAAGACCCAGAAGATAAAAGTCAGGAGTTCTAGGTTCAAGTTCATTCTTCAAAATTAATAGTCTGACTTTAGGTAAGTAATTTTTAGGAAACCTGTCTGAACTTCTTGTAGGCCAAGATTAGTTGTAGCCTTTTCTATGTTTTCCCGAAACAGATGTACTCATTTTTATCATAGCACTTACCACATGGTAGTACGATATATGTTTAGTAGTATTTTTCATCCCATTTGACTCTGAGCAACTTAAGGTCTCAGAGGCAATAATGCCTGTCCTACGTAAACCTTACACACAGCCTTCAAATAAATGAGATCACTTATATGAAAATATTTTACAAATGATAGAAGTTGTTATATTATAAAATTTATTATCCTATATGGGTAAAAGTTTAATATACATATATTCAATATTCATAGCGAAAGTCTAAAAGGTACTGTATTTTTATATTATTTACACTCTACTTACCTAATTCTATTTCTTCTTTTTTTTTGAGAGAGAAAGTTCTATTATGTTGCCTTTGGTAGAGTGCTGTGGTGTCACAGCTCACAGCAACCTGGAACTATTGGGCTTAAGCGATTCCCTCACCTCCAGCCTCCCAAGTAGCAGGGACTACAGGCACCCGCCACAATGCCCAGCTATTTTTGTTGCAGTTGTCACGGTTGTTTAGCAGGTCCAGGCTGGGTTTGAACTGCCAGCTTTGATGTATGTGGCTGGCACTGTAACCACTGTGCTATGGCAGTGAGCCAGTATTTCTTCTTTTAATAACTTAATTCTTACTATGCATAAATGCAACCAGTATGTTGGATCATAATCATGTACAAAAAACTGATCAAAAGAAGTTTCCAAAGAAAATTAAGCATTTCGCTTTCCTTTTAAGAGACATCATCTGTAATGAGCTTTATTTTTATTTATTTATTTAGAGACAGAGTCTCATTTTGTTGCCCTTGGCTAAACAGCTCACAGTAACCTCAAACTCTGGGGCTTTAAATGATTCTCTTGTCTCAGTCTCCCAAGTAGCTGGGACTACAGGTGCCTGCCATAGTGCCCGGCTATTTTTAAGAAACAGGGTCTCTTTCTGATTCAGGATGGTCTTCAACTTGTGAGCTCACGCGATCCACCCAACTTTTTTTTTTGCAGTTGTCATTACTGTTTAGCAAGCCTAGGCCAGCTTTGAACCCGCTTGCCTTGGTGTATATGGCTGGCACCCTACCCACTGAGCTATGGGTGCTGCCCTGTAATGTGCTTTAAAAAAAAACACATAAACATCAAAATAATATGTTGATTGCTTACTATGTGCTAGAACTTTTTTTTTTTTTTAGAGACAGGGTCTTGCTCTATCGCCCTCAATAGAGTACTGTGATGCCACAGCAACCTCCAACTCTTGGGCTTAGGTGATTCTCTTGCCTCAGCCTCCCTAGTAGCTGGGACTACAGGCATTTGCCCACAACGCCTGTTTATTTTTTGTTGTGGCTGGGGCCAGGTTCAAATCCACTACCCTCGGTACATGGGGCCAGCGCCGTACCCAGTGAGCCACAGGCGCCGCTGCTAGAACCTTTTTATTTATTTTTAATTTTTATTTACTTTTTTTGCAGTTTTTGGCTGGGGCTGGGTTTGAACCCGCCACCTCCAGCATATGAAACCCTATACTTTTGAGCCGTAGGAGCCACCCTGCTAGAACCTTTTTTAAGCACTTTATAAATATTAGGCTGAACCACATTAAGCAGTCATTTTTACAACACAAAAACTGTCAAATATTGGTTGGCAGTCTTATATGGTTTAGCTTAAAATTATCCTTTTTTTTTTTTTTTTGAGACAAGAGTCTCACTCAGTTGCTCTGGGACTGAGTGCCATAGCGTCATAGCTTACAGCAACCTCAAACTCTTTGGCTCAAGTGATTATCTTGCCTCAGCCTCCCACGTAGCTGGATTACAGGCGCCCGTCACAGTGCTCAGCTATTTTTTAGAGATGGGTCTTGCCCATGTTCAGGCTTGTCTCGAAATCCTGAGCTCAAGCAATACACCTGCCTAGACCTCTCAGAGTGCTGGGATTACAGGTGTGAGCCACTGCACCGGGCCCTAGCTTAAAATTATCTTGTTTTCTTTTTTTTTTTGAGACAGAGCCTCAAGCTATCCCCCTGGGTAGAGTGCCATGGCATCACACTCACAGCAACCTCCAACTCCTGGGCTCAAGCGAGTCTCCTGCCTCAGCCTCCCAAGTAGCTGGGACTATAGGCGCCCGCCACAACACCTGGCCATTTTTTGGTTGCAGCCATCATTGTTGTTTGGTGGGCCCGGGCTGGGGACTCAAAACCCGCCACCTTAGGTGTATGTGGCTGGCGCCTTAGCCGCTTGAGCCACAGGCGCCGAGCCTATCTTGTTTAATTCTAATAACAATGCTATGAAATGACAAAAGCTCAGATGGTTATGTTTACTTACTATACTTCTCTTTTAAATTTTTTTTAATTTTTGCTTTGAATTTCTGCTGGCTTTGACTTTATCTTAGTTTGAAGTTTTTTTTAAATTTCTTTACTTCTTCCTCCTGTAGTGATTCTCTTGCCCTCTTGCCCCCCATGTAGCTGGATTACAGACGCTAGGCACAATGTCCGGCTGTTTTTTTTTTTTTTTTGTAGAGACAGGTCTTACTCTGTTTCACTCTGCCTCATGCTGGTCTTTCGCTGGTCTCGAACTCAGCTGAACTCAGGCGATCCACCAGCTTCAGTCTTCCACAGCGCTGAGACAACAGGCATGAGCCGCCATGCCCGGCCTATACCTCTTTAATAACATGGCTCTAGAATCCTGTTTTAACCACTAAGTGATAACAGCAGGTACTATGTTCTTTTCTTCTTCTGAAAAAAATCCTTCAGAAAATCTAATCATTCATGTATAAACTATACTACTCTGTTTAGAGATCCTAGTTACCTCCAGTCATTTCACTTTAACATGCCCTATAATTATAATCTGGGTAACTGGCAAAACATCTATTCTGAACTACAGTATATTATCCACAAAACACAGTTGACTTCAATTTCAATTTTGTTATGTTACCAGTTATTATAAAGGGTATATATTTTTTCTGATTAATAAACATGCTTATTATAAGAAATTTACCTCAGAGCTTTTAGAGACATGTTCGTTATTGATGTACAGGAAGCCAAGTCAAGGTGCCTGAGTTTGGAACAGAACTTGCTAAGGCTAGTACATGTACTGAAAAATGGAAAAAGGAGAAAATAATGAATAAACAAATAAGAACACATCCTTGGTATAGCATACTCCGTAATCATTAAACGTGTGTCTTTAAGAACTGTAGAATTTTTATACCCCTAAAAAAAGCAGTTACAAATCCTGGGACCTTTCACATTGAGAAGCAGCAGACAGAATTCACAAAGGAGAAAGACTATGCTGTGTGTAAGAATTTGCATGAAGGCCAGGTACTGCGGCTCACACCTGTAATCCTAGCACTCTGGGAGGCTGAGGCGGATGGATTGCCCTGAGCTTACAGGGTTGATAGCAGCCTGAGTAAGAGCAAGACCCCGCCTCTAAAAATAGCTGGGCATTGTGGTGGGCGCCTGTAGTCCCACCTACTCCGGAGGCTGAGGCAAAAGAATTGCTTGTGCACAAGAGGTGGAGGTTGCTGTGACCTATGATGTCACTACCCTCTACTGAGAGTGGCAAAGTGAGACTGTCTCAAAAACAAACAAACAAACAACAACAAAAAAACCTGCATGAGGGGAAGATGGCATTGATTCATATTTGGAAATGTTAAGGGCTATTAACAGCACACTATTTATGTGGGCTCTAAAAAATCTTTGGGTATTTTGCGAGTCTAAGAACACCAGAAAGCTAATCAGTACCTGCTACCTGTGGTTAAACATGAGGAATGCAAGGTTGCCTCTGCTCTGTCTCTGCCCAAGACAACTTTTTGCATGGCAGCAATGAAAGAACTGGATTTTTGCAAGGTATACAAAGTATGGACTGATATGGGCTGAAACAAAGTAGTTATGTTCTACTGCTAATGACTTTCCTTTATGATTTCTTTTTTTTTTTTTTT